GAGAAATTATGAACGTGTCTGGATTTAGCAGCTCTGGATGCAATTTTTAGCCCAGTTTCAGTCCCACAGAAGCACTTTTAAAGACAACTTTTTCAAACAAAATAAAGTCTGTGTTAATATTGAAATTAAATCCAGGCATAACAGAGCAGAGAGGAACTCCATAGTCATCATCTGCCTTAAAACACTGGAAAATTTGTTTAAATTGGTAAATTGCAAATGTGAAAATAAAAGGCAAAATACTGCCCTAGAGTTAAATTTTAAGTTAGTGTCAGTTACTTCTGTTACATTTTGGAAAAGACTTGTTACTGTTTCTTGTTCATTGAAGACCATAAACCTACCATTAAGACATGGATATCAAACCCAGGCACTCTTTTTGATTTAAGGAGGGAAATCAAAAGATCAAGGTGCCCACACAAAACCGATACGCACCAACACCCCATAGCTTTTGAAACACAGCCTCAGAATCTGCAAAAATATTTCACACAGTAAGCATAACACGGTCCACGCTGCCAAAACACACAGTTCAGCACAGCTCCTGTGGAGATCTACTGCTCATACTACAGCAGATGAGAACCGGGCTTTATATTCACGGGTAAGCAACTCCTTCAGACAGGGCAGCAGCGCTTCTGCTACAACACACACATTCTGCAAATTCTCTGTGTTAATTTGAGCAGTTTTCACTTTAAATTCTCTTGCACACTTTGCTGAAGGACAAGTGGAGGCTCCTCTGGATGGCACAAACACTAAACCCAAAGGCAGATACTGGTCTTTTCCTGAAGAGTTGGATTTACCTGTATCCGTCCTAGGTGCCTCGTCAGTGACTACAGGTAAGCCAGAGGCAAAGAAATCCATTATAGTTGCATAAATATCTGGTTTCAGTAAGTTCCAATCCAAGTCTTCACTCTCCTATGAGAATCAGAAGAAGAAAAAAAAAAAAAAGAATAAAAACAGACTATCTGCCTCTTAATAGTAAGCTACACAGAAATTACATTAAAAAAATATCATAATGGGCTCTTCTTTTTGATGCATGGATTTGATTTCATAGTTTTGTCAAGTCCAGCTTTGCCAAAAAAGTTCAGTAGGACTCCATTTATAACTGTCAACAGAACGGTTTCCTTGTTTGCAAGCCAAGTGCTATTAAAATATTAGCTAAAAAGAGGTGAAAAATAACCTCTCCTAAATGCATTCTCCAAGACGTACTTTTCCCAAACTGTTCCAGATACTCAAGAACATTTGGTTCCATTTAATTTTGAGCCAAATCGTCATTCACTGAATGCCCTGGGCTCTTCACCCAGCAAGAGCGTCCAGCGCGGTTATCACGCAACACCTTATCTCTGCTGCCATGAGCTCCACACCTTGGGTAAACACAGCGCTGCCTGCAACCTGCCCTACCCCGGTCATAAACTATCGCACTTGGACGCGCTCTCTGGAGGTCTGCCAGCCCCGATTCCCGTTGGGCACAGAGCCAGCCAGCTTTCGAGCTGATCACGTTGCACAGGGACTCGTCCAGTCCAATGCTGACCATTTCTAAGATCAAAAAATCTACAACTTCTCTGGGCAACCTATTCCAGTGCTTACCCACACAGTGGGATTTTTTTATTTTCTTTTCTATTAAAGGCAATTCCCTTTATGCCACTTGTAAGCATTGCCTCTGGAATCCTCACTGTGCACATCCCAGGGTCTGACCGGATCTTCTCGAGAGCCATCTACAAGACAGCTGAACCTCAGCTCGTCTTTTAGCACATTTGAATCTCTGTTCCGCTTACCTTGGTGATTGTGATGAAGTCCGGTCCAAAGAAAATACTTTTAACTCCTTCAATTCTGAATAACTGTCTGTTAGGAAAACAAACAAACAAAACCCAAAAATGCACACACATGTCAGACAAACTCCTAAAGATTTAATCTGTCACAGAAAAAAAGCTCTCAAATACATTTCTAGACAAAAATAAGCACTAAAACCGTTAAGAGAAACTCGGAGTTACTCCACCTACAGCGAGAATGACACAAGAGATTTCACAATGCCCATCTGAAAGAATTTCCACACATGGAACAGTTGTACGTGCGTTGGGCTTTGGTATCACTAACCACGCGGATTTTAAACTTGCTCAAACAATGAAATCATGAAAGCGCACCAAACCACCCCAGATCAAATAAATAATTCTCCCCCCTTCAGGAAGCTTTTATTACTTCCTTGGAAAATGAATATTCCCTTCTAAAGTACATGAGTATGCCATTTACAAAAACCATAATCTGGTGTTTAACAACATATAGCAGACAATTTTTTTTCCGTTAACCAGCACAACGAGCTGTTTTGCCACGGTACACATTCTAGCACACCCATCTTCTTTGATAAAGCATCTGTTTGCAGATACATGACAACAAAAAGCCGTTTTCCGACAGTCAATTGCATTCTGCAACCTGATGCCCTTTGGCATAATCAGATTCTAAAGCTTTAACACTCTGCTAATACATTTTGATGTCCTCAAAGCCTTTCCCATTGTATTTGTGACTTGAAGTCGCAGAGCTCTGCTTGTACAGATCCTGTTTGCTCTCAAACAACTCTGCAGGAGACCTTTGGAAACGTCAGAGCTGCGTGTTTGATAACCCTACAGTTCCTGGAGAGACTGTCACGTGAAACAGCTTCTAGAATTCTTCCAACACGCACCAAGATGACTTAACTGGAGACCTCTGGAGGTAACCCTTTGCAGCATTTCTTGGTCTCGCCCTCAGACTGAAGCCCTTCCACCCACGTAAAGTTTTTTTCCCCGAGGCTAATGCAAAAGCAACAACAAACAGACAAGAAAGGATGCCTCCAAATATTCCCAGAGAGGCTTGCGATGGTGCTCCAAACCCTTTCTAGACCAAGACAATATTTATCAACGATCTGCTCAGCAATTCTTACTCCAGATGACACATTTTGGTATTGAACGCTGCAACTCCCAAGACCTGTTACAGATCCAGCCTGAAGGAGTGAACCAAACCTTTCCTTTCACTGAAACATTGTAAGCCTTTTGTGAAGGAGGAAATTGGCTTTGGAGTTCAGGTTAGCACCAACATCTGCCCAAACAAGCAAGCTACTACACTTACTCCTAGTGTTTGGGGACTGTTTACTTCCTTACGCCGTTTCCCCATTCTGAACAGTTGCCTGATTTCCAAGTCACTACTTGAATTAAGAGCGTTCTGATAGGAATGATTTTGCAAAATCTGAGCCAGAGGTCTCGTCGGTGATGCAGCAACTGCTCAAGAATACTGATTTATTTATTATTTATACCACTCCATCCAGTTGCATGAACCAGACCACGATGCATTCTGCTAGGATACAGCCACGGGGAGTACAGACTAGCACCCACAATCATCCCAGCTTTCATTTCAGGCACAAGTAAAGCAGTATTAAAAAACTTAAATCCAACCAAGCTCCTCCTGAGTATAAAGGGATGCAGAATGATCAGAAGTTATGCTTAAAAATATCAGTTGTAGACACACAGCCCACCCTGGTCCCCCAAACAAATGATGATGTGTTTAATACTACCTTGCTAAAGGTGAGCAAAATGCTGCAGCTGGCGTGGAAAACTCCATAGTCCTCGACTCCAGCACTTCCTTCCCTGGAATAAACTTCAGGCTATTTGGATTTGGTGTGTCCTGAGTTTGAATAAACATGCCTCTTACTGGAAATAAAAAAAAAAAAAAGGAGAAAAAAGATGTAATCAAACCTAAGTAGCTTAAATGAAAGTCAAGGATCCTGACCATTTCGCAAGCCAAGCCGAGGGTGACCACTGCGCTACAGCAAACAGCGGCCCGTGCAGCAACGATCCTTTAAAAACACGATGGAATGGGTTCAATGAAAGTATCTAGACTGACAAACAAGGGCACGGCATCCCACAGGAAACAAGAGAAATGGAACCTGTCTTTGCTTCTTTTGCTGACTTTTATTTACTAAGCATCATCCTAATGCACCAGCATCAAACTGCAGGAGGCCAGGACCATCCTCACGTTCTGCTGAGGGCCAAGAGGCACAACCTTCATTTCTCTGCTGCATTTAGGCTTTAATTTTATGATCCTTGCATGCTGTGAACTCCCTCTTCCAGCATTATCACTTCCTGTTCAAAGCATAATCAGTTTTACTAACCTTCTCTTGGAAGTCACAGGATTTAAGGGGTTTGGGTTTTATTTCATTTTCAGTACTATAAAAAAAGATAAACAAGCACTGTAACACTATAACACTGTAAACCACACCCTGCTCATAATATTTTCCACAAAGTGAAAAATTACTGTAAGCTATTGCTTATCCTCCAATTGAACTGACCAAACAATTCAAATTAAAATTATTTACCATTCACTGGTAAAGATGTTTAAAAGAGAAATTGTTACTGATGTTCCTGTCACAGCATGGGTCTGCCTTTCACTAGAAGAGTGTAAAAAAAAAAAACCCAATCTTGACTAAAATTTAATACTCTACATTTAATAGCATATTTTCCTATAGACATGTCCATGCAGCATACGCCTGACGTCCCACCGAAGTTGAATATCAGGGACAGTCTCCCAGCTTCTAAATTCTCTTTCTAGTTCTCCATCTTTCCAACTCTCCCTGCACACCAAATATCACAACAACGTATGAACATTCAGGAAAGAAAAAATGCATTTTAAAACAAAAAATCTCTAGGAACTAATATTTACAAATAGATTATAGTTGAGAAACAAGCTCACATAACTTTAAAAAAATAGGCAATGGAGTGATTTAAAGCAGCAAAAAGAACGGACATTTTCATTTTCGTGTACTGCCATTTCGCTCATGACTCCCCAGCACTAGATGACAAATCACACCATTTAAAAACTGCCAAACTGTTACCGCGTGTGTCTGTCACGGTAACAAGCCCTTTGACTTGAACATACACAATGGCAAAGAACACACACACAAAATTATCTTTTTTTTTTTTTTTTTAAAGAAAAAAGACTTAGCATGGAAGTACTTAATTTTAACATGAAAAGAATAATCCTGACAGAGCAACCAGCTGGTCAACTTTTAAGAACTACTCACCCTCCAGACTCAGCTGCCACCCAAAATCATGTCCAGCGTCACAGTGCAGTTAACAAATAACCAACAATGGGGATCTGGATGGTGTAAATTGAGTGCATTCTGACAGTTTTTTTGGAAGTGACAGGTCACGATCGTACATTGTTCATCTAGTGTCTCGAACACCCGAAACACAAGCAGCTGAACCAGCTCTCAGAAAGGTGCCCCCATGAGCAGCCTCTGTATTTGAAAAGCAACTTCTGCAGCTGCAGATCTGCCTCCCCAAGACCAGGTTTGTCAATCATTCACCAACCTGGAGGGCTCTGTGCACAGCTGCGAACAACCCGTTTGGAATTTATTATTCAATAGCTGGTAACTGGCTGTTTTTACATCAAACTCCTACACTGCTTCTTTCAACCCTCTGCGGAACGCTGTGGATACCTGCTTATTACTCTGCTCTGCCACCTGCCCAAGGGAAGAGGAAGATTCCAAAGCAGGCAGACTTTAGTAGGACACTTGCAGAAGCAGGAAAAAAATACTAAGTCTATTCATCAGAGTCTGCCTGTTGGTTAGAACTCAAACAGAAAAAACAGTGCTGGACCAGGTAAGATTGGACTTCTCTGAAATCAAAACTGAAAAGAAACTTCTGCCTGAGCACACTCATTTAAATAAGATTTCCATTTGTGACTAAATCCATGCAACAGCACCTGCAGAATTGTTTTGTCTGAAAACTTTCAGCTACAGCCTTGGAGACAGGTGCAAAAGCACAATGTTTTTCTGTGGTGCAAGTTTCACTGATTTTTTTTTTTTTTCTTTTCTGAGCATTACAGCCTACCAAAAAAAAAAAGACAGGTACAACAAACTCAATTTTAAACATTGCTTTTTCAGGGTAATACCACGTTGCAGAAAATATTAATGGAGAAGGCCATTAATGCACCATACATGGATGCACGTTCAAGAGGGGGAAAATTAAAAAGAGCAAACATTGCAGCTCTGAGAATGAAAGGCTTCACGTTCGTCCTTGCCAGGGTCTGTCTGGATGGCCAGCAATTTCAGCTGTCAGAGCTCAGCTCCTGAAGCAGGACAGAGGCAACACAGCCTCCTTCACAAGGGATACACTTACACTAAGATAGAAATTAAGAAGTGTAGCAAAGCCCAAATAATATTTTGCACCAACAAAGCCCCTTATAAGGCTTGGCAGCTGAATGACAGAAAAAACACATATAACCGAGCACTTTGTGAGCCATCCACGTGCTCTCCCCAAGCTCCAAAGGTCCATGTGCACTCACGCTTCATTAAAACAGCCTAGGAACTATTATCACACCCAGATTTTAGGAAGAACTTTGTTATTTCTTTTGTTATTGCTACAAGACACACAAACTCCCACTGCACTCATCTGTTCATTTCTGGCTTGTACTTACCTGCGGTGTGCCATGCTGCAGAGGGAAGAAATGGTTTCTTTTGCACAAGTTGGTGGAAAGACTGTCGAGTTGTCACATTGTGATCTTTTAACATGGTACGGCAGAACCTAGAGAAAAATAACCTTATTAACTGTTTCCAAAGAAGTTTGTACTCCACTACCCCACAGAAACAGCGTTTCACACACTTCTAGCAAACCCAGAACTCAGCGAGACGCTCACCTACCTTAAACCTCTCAGGTAATATACCAAACTCACAGGCTAGATCACAAAACATCCCTTTTTCCCCATCTTCAGTGCTGCCTCTCATTCCATAACAAAACAGACAAAACTCTCCAGTTTTAGACACCTAAAAAAAAAAATCAATCTGGACTCCTTCACAGTCACTAAAGACAGGACAATCACCTCACTTATCTGTAACAAAAGAGGATAAAACATCCCCAGGGAGCCTTTTGTCCTCCTTTGGCCAGTAGTGAGCACCTGGAAACCTAGCTTGGACTAAATGCCTAATTTTCAGAAGATTACAGACAGCTGAGATTAATCCAATCCCAAGCACCCAAGGCTAAATCAAGGTCAGAATTTACTCCTGTGCTCTGTGGGTTTAGCTGGTCAAACATAAGGCTCTCCTGTATGACTCCTGGAAGATACAAGAGCAGGCTAAAAAGGTAATGCGATGGCTGCTCTTACACAAAAAAATACCAGGACATTTGGATAAAAACTCTTTATTTAGCTACACATACCAAGCCATGCCTCACCCCTGTCTACCTCTATGTATTTCTTCCCTTTGGGGAATAAATAAATTCAGCGTATTCCAGTACAGAATGAAACCAGACCAGTTAAAAAGAGGCCCTGCTCCACACTGGCCACAAAATTCACACTGGCAGTGAAAATAGGGCTGGTGTAACCTGCTCTGATGAAGCGAACAGAGGGGAGAAGGAAAACAAGAAAAAAACATTAAGAGAAGAAGCCAGGGTGATGGACTAACAGGCCTGACTCGCAAGTGTAAATACTTGCTTGCACATTTATTTCCGTAGAAGTATGCATGGCCAACAGCATCCAGGTGTTTCAGAGCAAAGTGAACATCAGAAAATGGAACCAAAACCCACCTGGTGTCACAGACAGCACAGATAAATGTTACAGAGGGTTATTATCTGTTTTCTCTCCTCCTTATCAGGTACAGAGGGGGTCGAAGCAGGTAAACTCAATAAATTACTTCTACAGGGGGTCACAAATCAGAACAGGAGCACTACACCTAGGTGCAGATTCCTCAAACATGGGAACAGAAAAGCTCTCTCTCATGAAATAGACCTCCCCGCTGCAAGCTAGGGAGACACCAATACAGAAAAGGTCTAACGGATGTTATTTTCATACTTCTGTGGTCTTGCTAACAGGCAAAGAGACCACAACGGGATGTGTGAGGAAGGTCCCCAACAGCAAAGTTCTCCTTTCCTCCTTTAGCTTTGGTGAAAAAAAGAATATAGCCCACGTTACAGTCCACAGCGTGGGGGTTTGCCCATCACCACATGGTCCTTTGAGCTTCCCCTTATTGCAGTCTTTAGCAGCTGGGGGTGGCCTGACAATTTCCCCTTATTGCTGAGCATACATGGGGGGGCAACTCATTGCATGATCGTGGGCACATGTGTGGGGGGCAGTTACTCTTTGTTGCACCATCCAGAGCACGTGTGGGGGGGAATTACCCCTCATTGCCTG